TCCCATCTCCTAGGGCACAGTAGTGTCCCCAGTGAGGCTTGCTGTCCACTGGATGCCAACCTGGCCTTCAGAAGCCTGGTCTCGAAGCTCCCTGAGGATTTTTTATTGGCCGGAGCTGGGGAACTAGGAGGCAGAAGGATGGACCAGCTGGGACCTGAGCATGGACCATGACACGGACATCTGGAGAGATTCGTAACCAGGGCCCAGCCTAGCCTCCCGGGCTCACGTTCCTAAGCAGAGAAGCTGCCTGGCATTCTTAAAATACAGCGTATACTTTTCCAGCCCCCTTTTTCTGGGGCTGTTTCCTCTGCTCTCCCTCCACCCTGTGAAATCTGACTTGACTTTCAAGGCTCCTGACATCTTCCCGAGAATCATCCATTTCGGTGCCTGAACTATTTCTCCCTTCCCCATCCTCTAGAACGCTTAGCTGGTATGAATGGCTTGGCCTTTGGACGGCTGGCTTACAGGGAAACGTGTGGCTGGCTGTCTACACTGGGAGGCACAAACCGAAGCCCCGCTGTTCCCTCCCAAGGCTCAGTGCCCGGCCTTAGCACAGCCTGGGCTCTGAGCAGACGCTTGCAGAACCAATGGATGTGCAGCGGGCGCACCTCGGGCGGCGTCATAAGACCAGCCCTCATGTGGCATTCTCCACCTCCCAGCAGGCTTTGGAAGCCCAGGCCACATAGAAAGGGCAGAGACCGGACAGCACTGCCCCGCAGGTGGGAGGGAGCTCGCAGCCTGCAAAGCAAGGAGCGGTTGTAACCAGGGCAGCTGCTTCACCCCCTTGCTCGGGCACCTTGAGAGGTGCGGGAGCACCCACAGCCTCGCTGGGCTCAGCACTTCCGTCCCTCTCTCTTCTCAGGCTCTAAGCCTGGTCTGTAATTAACAGCGGATGCGATTCTTGTGAGAGAAGGGGGCCAAGTAACGAGAAAGTGATCGTTAGTGCTCATGAGTGGGAGGGTGGAGTCCACTGGGAGGTCAGCCTTCTGTGAAGCGTGACCAGGCTTCAGAAAATCCACGTGGGCACTGAGCACGAGGAGGAAGCTAGGAAGCTCCCACCCCTGACTCCCTTCCAGGCTGGAGGTGAAACTGCTCTTCTTGGGTACGTGGTGTCCCCCCAATGATACTACCCACTTGCCCGAGGTCCTCCTAGTCACCCATCATGCAGTAGGGGCCCAGCACTGTCTCCAGGCTCCACTCCTCTTAAAAATGCAAGGGCCCTGTGAACCCAACAGTCATTCACATCCAAGTGGGAATTAGCTGGTCAGCCATTTTACTAAGCTCAGGAGGGACTTTCCAGAGCCGGTGGACAGATGCTGGCGAAGCTGGGCCCAAGACTGAGGGCCTTTCCATCCCACCACCTGGGATCTGGACCCCGCTGGAAAGGAGGCCCCCTGAGACCTGGGAGGTTCCCAGTCTGAGTAGCTGCTCACCGGGTGGAAGACGGGCGGCTGCAGGATGAAGGTGTCAGGAAGCGGGTCCAGTTTTTCTCCAGGTGCCATGGGGGATGGGGCGCCAACAACTCCAGCTAATCCCGGTTCCAGGAGCCCTGCCCCCACTGGACAGACTGCCTTTCCTGGCCAGGATCCTAAGTGCCTGGGCAGCTTTCCCAGCTATTAGCCTCACCTGTGCCCTGCAGAGTCTTTAATGCTGTTCGAAGCAGGCCTGGGAGGTCAGGTCTGGGACAGCAGCGGTCCACCTCTGGTGTCACACCGCAGCTCTCGCCCCACCGACTGGACTGGGGCTGTTAGCAGAAATTCGTGTCCAGGGGTAGGAAACTCACACTAACCAACCAACCAATCAACCAACTAGCCCTTCTGAGTCTGAAGCACACTGGCTGGCTGTCCCAAGGGGAAGCTAGAAGCTGGCTCCTTGAGGGCTCGTTTGTGGTTTCTGGGGCTGCCCTGTGAGCCTTCCCGGGTCAGAGGCCGGGGAGCCGGTACATGTGGGCGGGTCCCAGGAGAAGCCCCGCCCCGGCTGCCTGGGTACCAAGGATCGGCTTCCCATTCGCCCCTCCTCTCCCCTCCCCACAAAAGGTTTTCAGCTCTTTCTCTCATTTCCTTGCCCCTTTCCCCACTGTTCTCAATTTTGTAAGTTTTATAGTCCCCTGGGGCTTCATTTCAGCATCAGCTGAAAGTGCCAGGGTCCAGCTGGTGTCACAAGAAAGTGGGTTGGGGGAGGGGTGTGAGAAAAGGGAAGGGAAATGGGAGAGCCCCCTAGGGCGCAGAAAAGGCAGCGTGGTGCAGTGGGGAGGGAGGCGCACACCGCTCTGGGGGAGACCTGCTTTGCTCAGCCTCTGCGCTAACAAGCTGTGTTTCCCCAGGACAAGTCACATCCCCTCTCTGAGACTTCCCTTCCCCTGTCTGGGACTCCCCTTGTTCCTCCGCACGTAGAGAGGGCAGCCGCGCAGTTTTCCCAGAGGAGGTCTGTGTCTGGGGGGTGGACTCAGATATCTGGGTTTTCATCAAGCTCCCCCATGATCGTTTGGATTAGAGTCGGTCCAGTTTGGTTTAAATTCCCATAAGGTTTTTTCCTTTAAAAAGCAACGCAACCGCTCAGCTCTACCCTGTGTTGGGAGGTCCCAGCATCTGACCGCTGTCAGACTGGGCAGTAGGGAGTTCCTGGCAGGACTAGGCTGGGCAAAGGCTCAACCGCGTACAAGGGGTGCTGGGGCAGTGTGTGTGGGGGTGGGGGGCAGGTATCTGAGCTGCTACTCAAGGGCAGCAGCCTCAGTGTCACCAAAAAAGCTTGTTAGAAATGCAAACGTAGGGACCCCCACCCCAGGCCTGCTGAAGAGGGAACTTTGGGGGCAGGCCCCAGGAATTTGCATTTTAACATAGTCTCCAGCAGTGGTGACTTAGGTGCTAACTGGCAGGGCTTGGTAGGTATGCAGCAGAGCAGTTTGTTCAGATCTTGCTGGGAAGGTGGAATTGGGCTGCTGAAGGGGCTTTGTGTGGGGATATTTGATCAGAGGTGTGTGCAAGAAGAATAATCTATATACAAGGCTGGAGAGGAAAAACCAGAGGTGGAGAAACCAGTTGGGCAGGGACCTGGAGCCCTGCCCTGGGAATCAGACCTGGATTCTGGTCTGAGGCA